TAATATAAATTAAAAACCATATATTAATATATATAATCAAATTTATATACTGTATTCTACTATAAATAAGTACTACATCCTTTTAAATTAATACTGTTTTTACGTCTATATTTAATTCACACTGTCATGTGTATCTGTCTATTCGCTTTCGCATCTTTTATTAGTTGTCAATCACAAGCTTATTGATATCAATTATTTAGTTTTGAACACACAATTCTATGCATTTCTTAGTCAATTTAACTAGTAACTTAAAACTATTATAAGTTAGAAGCATAAGAAAAGAAAATTATTGGCTAGAGCTAAGAGAACTGAGGCGGAAACCTTCAAGCCATACTTTACGAATTTTCAATTTAGGTTCAAAATCCAAAAATTGAACCTAAATCAGGTTCAATTTAGGATATAAAACGTTAATTTAAAATGTAGCTGCTGGCTTTAAAATCATTATAACAAAACTAATAGAAATTTTTTTAGCAAACACATTAAATAAGAACATTAAATAAAATTAAATAAAATTAAATTTTGTAGCTGACTTTTAAAATACATGTGATAAAAAATAATAAGTTTTATACAAATGCATAAATCAAATTAATATGTATTTTTGATTGCAAACACATTAGATAAAATGGGTGTTCTATAAAATAGGTAGACAATATAAAAAATAAGCTTTGTTAATGACATTAATAGATACTTAGCGGAGTTGTGGAGTTTGCTCACCTATTCTATAAAACATCTGATAAAATTAACTATTTGGTATAAAATGAAGAAGATTCATTAAAATAAATATGAAGGAACTAAATATTGGCCTATTAAAGTGGAAGTAATAATGAGAACTAAAATTGTAATAATGTCTCTGGGGATATGTGGGCGATCGATCAGAATCGGGTATATCAATATGGTGTAATAAATTAAAAAATTATATAGTAACATAAGGGAAATATATGTAAGTTTATGGGAAATAATTAGGGTTGGCACGGACCAATCAATGGTTAAGCTTGACCAGACCAGTTTGACCAATTTGACTAGTTGGTTAAAGGGTTTAGTATTGGTCAAAGGCTATTTAAATATATAGTATATGCATGCATATATATATATATTTATTAAATAGACTAGGCCATTTGACCAATTTGACCGGACCATTTGACCAATTTAACCAGACCAGTTTGACCAACAAATTTTTGGTTGACTAGTGATTTGACCAACTCTAGAAATAATGTAAATAATGTAATTCAAGAGTAAAAGTCAAAAAAAATAAATTAAATTAATTAGTTTTCGTTCAATTAATAAATCAATTTACATACTCTTACACATAGTACAAGGAACTTATCATTGCATGATTACAGGGTTTACAATAAATAGCAATTAAGTAGTACCAATCGACCTATCAAATACACTTGGGAAGGAAAATCTGATATTTGTTCTCGCATACAGTTTCCTTGCCTGGGCAATTACAATTCATAAATCACAAGGTTTGATATTACCGCAAGCTGTCATAAATATTAGAAATAAAGAATTTGCAACAGGTCTTACATTCATAGGTGTATTAAGGGTTCGTACTCTTAATGATCTTCTTTTCGATAGTGCATTCTCTTTTGACAGATTACAAAAATTAGGACAAAGTGCAACAAAGATTATAATAGGAATTCATAAAATTTAACATGTACTATTTTTATTATAATTTAATTCAATATAGTATACGTACGTATGTACATACTATATCAGATATCTGATATGACAAAATTCTCACGTGATCTAGATGATCACTTGCTGTCGTAAAACAGAACGTCCTCCGCTTCGTTTCGGAATTTCAAAAATTAATACGAATTCTAACAAATATATTGAACATTAAAAATCTTAAATTTGTACGTATTATAGTTACTGTAGCTTAGAACTAGAGTCGAGGTCCAAAAAAACAGGGATGAATTTCGAAATTAGGTGTACGACGTACGCACAAGGATAGCTAAAAATGTGTAACTAATAAAACGAATCGAGTGTTACATTACATTGTTCATTGTAGAATGAAAAATTTTGATAAACAAAAACAATGAATGAACAATGACGATTTTAAGAGAATGAATTACGGGATTCAAATAAAAAAAAAAAAACAAACCCAAAAATAAAATTAATAACAAAAAATTAATTAGTAATAATAATAACAAAACATTAATTATAAAAGAAAGTCATTTAATTTAGATTAACTTAATCTCGCCAAGTCATTGAAATCATTTATATAATGAATATTCGTGTTTTTTTTTATAGCAAAAAAAAACTCTATTTGCCGTAAAATGGAAATAGTCAACTCATTTAACATTTAACCTTATTGAGTATTATTAACTCTATTTCAAGATTCATTTTTGAGGTTCATTTTTTTATAATGTCAATGGTTAGAAACTCGGACCGAAACCTAAAATCAATTCGGTCTGTTCCGATTCTTTATATTACCGTTACTCATTTCTTTTTATGGGATAGGGGATTTTTTGTCAATGAATCAAATTTAAAACTATTATATTACTTGCTAATAAAAAAATCAATATAACCAAATTGGTTGTATTTTGTTCCGGGATACAGAACTTTTCTCCTTAAGAAATTCATTAATTAAAGTTATCGATCTCGTTATAGTATAATGTTGGCTTTCTCATTACATTAATTACAATGTTTTCGGTTGATTACGTACCCGGATAAATGAATTTGATTTAAATAAAATATATTATAATAGTTGAATATATTAGGATATATTAATTTTCGATTCATTCAAACTGACCCGTATTCTACTGGGTAGGTGAAAAACCCTAAGCAGGACCTTTTTTTTTACTATCTCCGAATATTAAAACTATATATTCGGAATGGATGAATGAAAAGCCCTTAGACGAACCTTTTTGCTAATCACTAAAAGGGTCTTGTTCAGAGACTTTCACCAACCCGATATACTGAAAGAAAATCAGGAGATAAGGCTAAAAAAGTTCATGATGCTCCTGATTACACGTAATTTCTGTAATATTGTATAGAGATGGATCGGTCTTCGAATAATTCTCAGTCCTCGGTCTGGAATCGTCCGGCCCTGGTCCTGATTATGGTCTAACGATGACTAATACTACTGATAAAAGCTGATAAATTAATATAAAGAAACAACGCGAATAATAATAATAATAACTTTCATAACCCTTTCTAGCCATGAATAATAATAAGAATTTCTTTCTTCTATCTTCCAATATTTCTCAGTGTGCTAAAATAAGCGTCTAATTTCCAATTTCTAATGAAATAAATACTGTATTTTCGCGTAATAACGCTCATGATCGTTATTTCGAACAATGGCCCGAATTAAGCTTAATTTGGGCCAAAATTTGAAATTAAACCCCTGCGCGTTATTACGCGAAAATATGGTATTCATATTTACGTTGCTGTATTTTTTTTAATATAAATTAATGTGTATTCTATTTTTTATAATATAAATTTAATGTGCTGTATTTTTTATAATATAAATTTTAAAATTTTGGCCACTAATAAATAAAAATTTTAATGCCGTTTTGGTCATCTGCAATTTTCAATTATCCCAAGACTTATGAGAATAGCTTATCGATTCTGTAATTTGCAATCTTTTTTAATTTTTTCAATAGCTCTAAATCTACGAAATATGAGGCCAAAGTCTGTTTCGAAAATTTCCAAGTGGAAGATGAATGAACCTAAAATACAGCAAGATTACATACGTACTTATCGGTCGATTTACATTATCTAAGGAATCCATCATTTATAATTCCGGTCAGAGTTGTTGATCATTTGGCCAGGTCTAATGTTACCAGAATTACAACTGATTATTATGATCCTTTATTTATTAGATGCAGATTCGCTGATATGACTAGTCATACCTTTCTAAATGCATCCTATTTTAACAACGTACACTTAAAGAGTAATAAGAAAATTGCATTTATTGAGGTTACGTATGTATTTGGGCCAGAATTAGAGAGTGCATTTAGAGAGCTTTAGGGAAGGTTCATTGTATAAACTAACTAATCAACTGACATCTCCCTTTTTCGTTTTGCAAAGCATATCGGTGGAGGTAATATTGATAAAAAATTGATAGCAAAGTAGGGTTGTGATAACTTATTTAATATGTAACTTACATTTTAAGTTACATCGTAAGTTACTTGCAAGTTACAAAATACGTACATCATAGTAAAGCAGACCGGCTTTAGTATTAATGCCGGCCAGAATAACTTTAGCCCAGCATTAAGATTATTAAAGGATGAAATTTTTATTATACATAACTAAATTATCTTGCATGATAATTTACATAACTTAAAATGTAACTTACATTTTAAATAAACTTACAGCAGTTATACAACCCTAAGCAAAAGTTAATGCTATCTTCAATAAAAATAACTTTCATATTGTGATTTAATGCATTACAATCTTAACGTTAACAGCTTATGTAAAAAGAAATTAAGGGATAAATCAACTTAATACTGTAATCAAAGCTATATTAGAAGTATTAATAATTTTACTATGATAGAAGTCATATCGGTGAGTTTGTGGAATTTAATAAATAGAAAACCCGAGTCGTAGTTCTGGTCATATTCGCAGATAATTTGGCCAGCTTTGAAATTATTTGACTTCAAAGCTGGCCAAATGATCTGCGAATTTGTCCAGAGTTACAGATCATGGGATTTTCTATTTATCAAATTCCACTAATCAGCCGATATGTTTTGTTAAAATTAACAATTTAATATCATTTTACTTCAAGAAAATTACAAAATCCTAAAAGATTCATTGAATATTTTTCTAATTTCTTTTAAAGTAATTGAATCACTTTGTAAGAGTTACTATATTCGATCTTTTTTCTGGTTTTTTTTTTAAACAAATTTTAATTGTTCTAATCAAATAATAGAAATGATTTTATTTATACAGAGGTCAATGTGTAGTCTACAACACTAGACATATAAGCTTTTAGATAAACAATCAAATCGATTTTCCAATAGTGGGAAGATTCAAGTTAAAAATATCGAAAATTAGCTTGCTTGAAGAAACCGTCTTAAATTTTGAGATTTCGCTAGTGACTCAGTTAAGCAATTCAACAAATTAGCAAGATTTGCCAAATGTTGTAATGACATTGGATTGTCTGAAGATAATCTTTTAGATCGCTGAAATTGCAATTTTCTGATGTTAAAAAAAAAAAATTTAAAAATAAAAAGAAAAAATTCAGAAATTTTACTAATAAAAAAATTATGTATATTAGAGACGACTTAACAGATGTCATTGGGAAGTTAGTAAGTACAATAATTAATTCAGTTATAAGGAAGAAATTATCAGAGAGAGAAGCGACTCAAGAAAAATATAATACTTCATCAAGAGCAAATATTGCTTTACTGTATTTGCGCGTAATAACGCGCATGTGCGTTATTTCGAAATTTCCATACTTTTGAACATTGTTTTTTTGACTCAAAATAACGCCCACGCGCGTCCCAAAATAACGTGCCCCCTTAATATACCATATTACATATTTTGATCAAAATTTTCAGGCTAAGTTCATTAATAAAAGTTCATTAATAAAGTAGGACTTCCTCTTGTAATCCAAATTTGCACCCGTAATTTAAGCTAATAATTTCAATCACCGCCCGATTATATTTCCAGCATAAGACTTGGCTGTAATTAAGTTAGAATTTAAAAACTTAAAAATTCAAAAATTGTCTTTTAATATTAACTAATAAAATATTTCTATAAAAACAATAAAAAAACTTTTAATTTTAAAAATAAAATAACGAATACCACATAAATATTCCTCTAGTATATTATAATTACTTTAAGTTAACCGTGCTAATTGTTCAACACATTCTTACTTAAATGATACTTTTTTTTACTTAAATTTACCTTTTTTGAATGAAAATAACTCAAAAGAGCTGAATTCTTCTTTCTTCCATATTATTTATTCATGAACTCATGTTTTCGCAGCACTTTTGATTGAACAGTCGTGACTAAAATCATAAAGAAAAGTATTCGGAGGATTTAATTTTTGCCACATTATACTGAACTTTGAGTTTATCTAACACGATTCGTGATATTAGCCTAAAATTTTGACGGTTTGAATTAATATCTAAAAATGAAGTGATGCCGGAAATATCATTCTCTTCCATTTCTTAATTCTCATTTATAAGTTTTTTAAAAATATATCCAAATTTGTATAACCTGCGAGGCATTTGAAGGACCTTTCATATTAAAAAAAAATTTATTATAAACTTTATTAAAAAATATGTTCTCTTTTAAGTCTTATTAAAATCGATATTAAACTTTTAATTTTCATACTTTTCATATTTTAGATAAAAAATTAATATATATATATATATATTCAAATACGATAAAATCGTTTTTTATACATTCAACTTCGTAATAATAAGCCTTTTCAAATTACAATAGCTTTTTTCATCATGATTTTAGGCATAGTCAGTGATTGAAATCAGTGACTTAACCTGCCAAATTTTTCAAAATAATTTGAATTACCGTGTATGCGCGTCCTATAATAACGCGCAGGTACGCGTTACGTATTACGCGAAAATACGATAGCATTTTTGTTTCCTTGTCGGCTTTAGCTACATCACTATTTACTAGGTACAACTGTTCTTGTAGCAGTTTGCACTTCAGTATTCGATTCTGGAATATTTTACAGTTGGTATAGATAAGTTATTAAATTTTTTATTTTTATTTTTTTTACAAATAAATGTGGTCTTAATTAAACAGGTGCCGTATTATCTTTCATTTAATTAAAAATATAGTAATTGTAGGAGGGAACAAAGGTACAATCTTAGAGTTTTTAAATAAGAGATTACTCGGAACGCGATCATTTTAACTAATTGCATAGAGACTTCATAAAATTTGTTGTAACCTATTATCGATCATTAAAACTTGCTGTAAATTTATAATTTTTTTTGGAGGAGCAAATTTATACAATTAATTATATTATTGAAACTGAATAATCAAGAAGCACTTCGAATCAATAAACTGGTTATACTGTATATGGTCTTTTAAAAGTGTAACAGTTAATGCAAGAAATATAACCGTATTATATATGCTGAACTAGATGATATGACTTAATCTTACTAATTGAAACTATTCACTTACTAACTAAACTATCCACTTACTAACTAAAACTATCCGCTTCGCTTACTAACTGAAACTACCCAGTTTTAACCCCAAATTACAAAGTTCCTATAGTTATCACAAATGAATGGTCTAATGTTTCATGCAAAATAAGAGATCTATAAATGTGAAAAGGCAAAAAAAAATACAGAAGATTTATTTTATTTTATTTTATTTTTTTTAAAAAAAATTTGGCAGTCATGCCTTTACTTTATTAGGCTTTGTAATAATCAATCTAGACTATTAAAATTTTAAAGAGACTTATCGGTGAGTGATAAACTCTAAACATGTTGGCAGATAGCATATGAGAACTATCTCTAAATGACATACACCATGCCCGAGGGCCACACAACTATACCTAAATTACAAGTAAAGACTAACCCGGTTGCTTACTAAGTACCTATATTCAACCTGCTAGAGTAGGATTCTCCTCCTTTTGGACCCTCCTGCAATTGGATATGACCCAGCTCTCAACAGATGGTACCTACTGCCCGTCATGACCATCTTTCTCTTCTTTCAGACTTCTTCCACCTAAGCCCGACAACAAAATTAAAACCCTTATTCATATATAAAAGTGAAAAAATAATGTTATGTTTATAAGAGACATAAACATTTTAGAAAAAAAACACCTCACAGTGGGAAAAAAAACTTTTCAACAAATTCTAAAATAGTTTAATATAAATGAACCAAGATGAAAAAAGTGAAAAAAAAAAGTAGCCATGACACACTATTATAGCCCGTGCCAGACATAAGGATAAAAATTATATAATAATTGCAACTAATTAATATATCTTGATTGTAAGAC